TTAATAAGGTAAAATACATTGAAATAGCTTCATGCCATTTCTAAGAATTTGTATCTGTGCATTATTTAACAGAATCTCGATTACAATATAGTGCCATTAGCGATTAGCCATCTCGTATTAGTAAAACCACAAATTAGCTAAATTAACTAAAATAGCATGCTAGCTGCAGTATCAAATGAAGTGGTGTCGGTTGCTGCTTTAGTCCTGAAAGGGTGATTTTAGTTGTTTTTACGCAAACAGAATTACTGTGATTTGACGTAAAGTTAAAACGTCTGTGGATAATCTGAGGACACAGACTACTAAATTAGTAAGTTGGCTATGAAAATCCATCTATGTATAAAATATTTGTATAATCTATTATTATATGTTCTACCCTATTTTGGCAATACCCCCGTAATTTCAGAAATACCTGTTTACACGTCTGATTACATTCTTGAAAATGTTTATGATAATTTTTCTAATACTTTCGATAAAGGCACTGTAGTATTTGGTTCTTCGTTTTTATTGTATATAATCTCTTTGTATATAATCTCTTTAAAATAAATAAATAAATAAATAAATAAATAAATAAATAAATAAATAAATAAATAAATAAATAAATAAATAAATAAATAAATAAATAAATAAATAAATAAATAAATAAATAAATAAATAAATAAATAAATAAATAAATAAATAAATAAATAAATAAATAAATAAATAAATAAATAAATAAATAAATAAATAAATAAATAAATAAATAAATAAATAAATAAATAAATAAATAAATAAATAAATAAATAAATACTACCACCGATAGAGTTATCGGGTTTAAATCCGGTCAGGTTGTGTGTTAGACGGTAGATTCAAATATGATTATTGACGCACGTCCCTAACGGTTTGACAAGTGCGCCACCTAGCTGAAATCAAGCTGAGGAATACTAATATGTTTGACATTATTTGTTTGTTTGTTATTAGTTTCAGCATGTATCTACTAGTATGTTCACGACCGAAACGCGTGTTTGTGCAAAGAAGCAACTGACGTGGTCAAAGTTCAAGTTACTTATATGGCAGTCAGCAATCCTTAGCTTCCCAACGTCCAATAATAGAATTGTACACGCGATTTTATCCTCTGGGGGATATGGTAAATTTGCAGCTGATCTTAAACTTGCAATTGTACTAGAATTATGTAACGGTCCGAACGAAGATCAAGCACGCATCTTTCCCCTCACGTCTACATTTCAAAGAAACCATAATTTGATAATAAACTTGACAGACGCGTTTTCCTAAAATCCTAAAACTAGAAAACAACGTACGGTGTGCGTACGCGGCAATGTTGTAAGGGAAGTATCTAATCAACTCCACATTGTACCACAAGTCATTCATTCAATTTAATACACAATCCGGTTTAAAAGTTTCAGGAAACCAACCCTAAATACAGTGTGCTTTCAATTCATTTGCAATGTATTGACAGAAACAAGAAATACCGCAAATCCAGGGCGACCGGAGCCAATGTGTCAGCGCGAAACAAAGAACATATGTGATCACTGTCTTCCCTGCAGAGAATGGGCTTCAAGATTCCAACCAGCATAGTTTGCGTAGGCCTGCGACGCAACTATTTGGACATCAAGCTTCCAGTGTTTACATGAACATCTAGGCTCGGGTCTGCCCTACAAAACATACCACTTCCGTCGAACGACAAATCCCACGAGTCTTTCAGGTTGAACCTTCAATTTGACGGGCCGTGCATCGAGGGACGGGCGGCGATGAAAGATGTCGTTTTCATGCACATGCATATCTTTTATCCCGAACCCATTTTGTTCACGCCACGATCTCTGTTTCGGATTGTACGCCGTAATTCTCTCAGATCAATTTATACACCCCCCTGACACCGTAGGAATTTTCATGAGGAAAATAAAAACTTTTCCCGATTTAGCACGATATCCTGCCTGGTGTCCAGATGCGGGCATTTCAACCCGAAGTTGTTTATCATGCCAGTATTTACCCTACGTCACGTTCTGCGGAAAGCCAGTCGACAGAGCAACACGCCTTTTCAAAATACATTGGCAAACTGTCGCTTCAAACTTTTGGCGATGAGCTGATACTTTCGGTGCCAAACCACACTAGTATTAAGAATGGGTAGCTGAAGTATTTTCAATCAAACGCGACGCAAACTTGGGGCAGCGCAAAAGATACAGAAATTTGCGCTAGGGTATGTCAAAGATCAGGCACACTTAGACTTAGCATGGTAGATCACATTGCAAACATTGTGTACAAGTAACTCTATGCCTTTCACCCGACTCTTATATTAAACTGTGAAATACACTGAACTCCAATTGGAACATTTGAGATGACTGAACACTATATTATAGGCTAGTCGCTCAGCTATAATGAACACCAACTAAAATCACCATCACACCCATAGCCGGGTGTTTCCCGAATTAAAAATATTTGTTATATGCTTTCACACTTAATCTCACTCACTTTCGATAATATCAGGTATATAAACTAATTTGTTCTTCATTAGTTGGGTTCACCACCGTCCCCAAGAGCAAGTCAGCGTTCATGCTTCAACGGAGGGTTTATCCAAATACTGGAACTCCACAACCAAAAATCATTGACCATGTCCAAGCAACCAATTTTCACAGTACAATTGACAGTGATTCGGAGAACTATTAACGCAAATGTTGGACCAATGACAACCTTCTTTTTTAAATTGCCGATATACAGAGGTGGCAATTATCTATTTGGGTGGGTTGGTTTTGTTGTTGGTTGAACATACAACATCATTTCCGCAAACGCAAAGAAATAGCGATCATTATCAGTTAAAACGACGAGGGTGGTATATCGACTGAAGACTCAATATTAGCCTACTTGCGGTATTCTAAAGTAATCGTGTTTTCCTTTCAATATTTTGATTCTATGTGTACAAGACGCAGTCAGAGTTACAGGTTAAAATGGACGTCGTTCAAGTACACGGTAGTTAATTTTAAATGACAGAGAAAAGACTTTTGTTTGAGCGAAGCTCAAGTTTTTCAAGTGGGACAATTGCATTATTGATGTTGATAACTTGTACCGTCTATTCGATTAACAAATAAAATGTTTCTATCCCCACCAACGTATGCGTGCAGCAAAAATTACCCGGTTTAAATCACAATGTGTGACTGAGTGTGTTCCCGGGACCTGACCAAACACGGTGCTTAAAATCGACTGTTCCTCCTCAGCATGTGCAAGCAACACGTCACACTGCAATAAGAGGGGTGAGGAGGTAAATAGGCAATCCAAACAATAAACTGAAACATCACCATGTTTACATTTCAACAAAACAAACAAAGCGGTTTCGCAACTTCTCAAGATAAAAAGTGTCCTTTTATTAGTCTGTCCCACAAGTGGATTTTTCCCTTCAATAACCCCGACAACAACATAAAAATATCACACTGCGGGTTCTACTCAGAATTTATCGCTGTTATGTGGCCTTTGTATACGCGATTAGGATTGCATATGTGGGAACCGTTTACGGATATAAAAGACTGTCTTCTTGGGACAAAGTAAAGAGAATGTACGCTGTGGTAAACGGAGGTACATGCAGAGTTTTGGTTGTAAGTATACAATGCCGTTGTTCATATTATCTAAAGGGGAATCCTTCAGTGACTTGCATCGCTATTCAGCACAAGTATATATACAGGGTGAAGTAGGATAAATTATATGATTAGATATTTTGTTTTAGACGGAAACACATCATGGTTATACTTACACAGATATTGCGTAATACTATGTAGCAATCATACAAATTAATTAACTACTATAGCGTCATTCAGTTATGAATCTATTAGAAGCCCGAGAGTTCGACCCGCAGCGTTATTGTAGATGTATATAAGCTAGTATGTCGTATTTTCTGATATGTTGGCTTACGAACTGTCACCTTCATTATGCGACAAATAAGGTAGATAATATGATGGCCGAGTGTGGAAACGGGATTGAGTCCGCCGTGATATTGTCGTGTAATCAGGTGAATTGTCCCACACTGGCAATTGACCCTTTAAAAATGAATCAGTCGTATATTTTGTAATATTTTGTGCTATGCGATGTTCCGGACAATGAATGTCACTATTGTATCTCCTGAGTTTTTCTGCATTTTACAAGTGCGAGTTAACTCGAATTGTCTCGTTCAATTTGTTTAAGGTTTCTTCCGACTAATCCTCTGTACGATTTTCATACGAGTATATTATAGTGTAGTAATCGGTCATACAGCGAAGATCATTTCTAGGGGAGCGTTGTTTGCCAGTGTAGTCAGTGATTGTTACTATAAACCGCACAGAACTGGTTTATGCAATCGCGATCACGATTGTTTCATGTAAAAACAAAATTAGCAAACATGAATCTTTCATATACTCATTCCTTACTGAATCGCATAGGAGTTCACCGTGTAATATGTCTCACGGATTTGTTCATATAATCGGTCCTACAGGATTACATAGGACTGCTTCATGCGACTGGCCCTATATGAACACATAGGACTGCTCCATGTAATCGGTTCTACAGTCTATATTGTCCCATTTAACAGGCCATAACAGATTAGTTCAGCACGTTGTACTAATGGATCGATCAATTATATCCCTTACCCATCGGAAGGGGCATATATTCTAGGCTATGTTGACATTAAACGTTTGTAAAGGGCGTTTTTCTTGTATAGAAAAACACTTAGAGCCAAAACGCGTAGAAGTTAGTGACCCAGCTTTGTATTATGGCATGTCTATTATATAAAGACAGCTCCGTCATGTTTGGTATGGAATACATCTCATGGAAGATATATTGTCGTATAATGCTGTGATTTAAAGAAAACGCACGTATGTGTATACTAGTTCGGGTATAGTTTGTTACAAGGATACGCAGCATTTACCACCAAGAAGTAGCGATGTCTTGAGCAGATAGCTTCGAGCAGGCATTATCCGCTCTGCCGGACATGAAAACAAATATAAGAATTAGCAGCTACGAGTTAAGAGGGAAAATTAGATGCTTACCCAGCTTAGCCCGAACTGTACGAATCGTGTTCCACTTTTTTGCATCGTCGCTCCATTCTCTCGCTCGCGATAAATGCTCCAACAAGTGCACCATGTGTCGAGGCGGTCTGTCGGCAAAATTAGCCTTATCGTCCAACTCGTATTCCGGCAGTCTGAGAAGCTGTTTCAATGTTTCCTGCAAGGCGACAACTTTGTCTCCATCTAACCGATGTGTCTGACAAGTAGTCGCCCAGAAGATTAAAACACACAGCGATGCGACGCGAATGGCAGTTGTCGTCTTCATTTTCAAAGTTAAATCCCTCACTGGTTTGTCAAACGCAAAAACCAATCGTTCACATGAGAAGACTCATGTATTGATGGTACCCTACTCTTAACACTGATCCTGTAATTGGTGCCCTGCGAGGCTTTTCTCAACTCAATTCACACACAAATTCGCGGCTGAACTTTGACAGTGCCAATTAACTCGTCAAATCGGGTCAGAACTCCAGCAAGTTTGAGATATAGTCGGACGTCTTCTAACTATCCTCTGGCGCGAAAATCCTGTTTCCAACGGCGCGTAAAAGTTACAGTAACAAACAGCGATTCGGAGTCGGTGATATATGACAAGGGTCTGTAGCGATGCTATGAGTAAGAATAACACGCCTCCAGATGACTACGTATGACTCCGCCTCAAAAAACACTTAAGAGCTAAGGGCACTTAGCGTTTGGGTTATACCACTTTACTGAAAGGGGGTATCATAATGTATGATAGCGCCAATAGTTCATCAAACAACACAACTTTATCTGACCCAAATTTGGTAGAATTTAGATTCTAACATCAGAAAAAAACAAACTGGTGACATACTGGGACAAAGTGGATCAAGAAAAAGTAATTTACTTTTTTTTAATCTGTTTTAAATTGAATACCACATTGTGTGAATATATCATAAAATTACCGTACTGTAGCTCAGTTGCCACGATGCGATTACAGCAGAACCTAAAATTGGTGAGAGGGTGATGGCGAACTTACTGCAAAAGGGGGTATCCCCGTCGCATCACTATTTACAAAACACGAATTCACGATGAATGTGTGATTAACGTTTCCTAGTTTACACACTATAAGTGTAATTAAGGCAAGCAGAGAGCATGGCAAAATGTGCCTAAGTACACGTCGTAAAGTCTGGTATGGTCATTTGAGAGCCTTTCCCTACATGCAATGTCAGTTTAGTTTACTGTCAAAATGAGCAGTGTAATTCAATGACATCTCACTGGCGGTCAACTTTAACGATTTAAGTTGGCGCATGCGTCGTGGTGGCACTATTTCATGTTCCTTGTGAGGCCGGTGATATGTTACTTATAGTGTTTGAGAAGTAGCAGTCTGTTGATGTTCACATCACCACATGATGGAAATTTCATCGAATTGATGTTGCAATAGAAAAGGACTGCACAATAAAAATGTCTTCCTTTGTGAATATATATTTTTGTTTTCGCTTTAATTATTCATCCTGAAATGGGTACCAAACCACATACTAGTAACTGAGTATGTGGATTGCAAGGTTTGACACACACTTGTGAGCGTATAGGAGATTGTTTCTGGAATTGGTGTCTCCAAGTGGCACTTAAAACAAGTTTAAGCGCCAGCGTGGAAGGTTTTGGAGTTTACAACATTAATTGGGAGAAAAAGCCTAGAGGTCACTTGACCCTGTGTGAAATCGGACAAGGGGTTTACATTATAATAAATACATGGGTTGAACAAAACACCCGGTGTAACTTGTAACGTTGATGACAGTTAGTAGAGACGACGTTCTGACAATTAATATAATACGGGTGGCAGCTCATTTTTACTGAGATGAAAAGCATATATACTAACTAGAGAAAATGTCTCTATGAAAACAACAACACCGCATACAGAGAAGCGTATCGCTAAATTTGATGGATGGATGTCCATATCTGAAAACGGTCGACAATTATAATCATCGTATTCGACATGTACTGCTTTTTGTCAATTTCCTCGTATTTATTTACTTCATGCAACACTTGAGCAAATTAGGATCACACTGGTACTAAATAAACACATATGAGACAAATAGTAGGACGTTCAATGCTACGCATAAGAAAACAGCACCTATAGATAGACAACATATTTATTTACACATTATTATCATAAATATATGTTTCGTTACATGACGTCACCATGCGTATTATTATTATTATTATTATTATTATTATTATTATTATTATTATTATTATTATTATTATTATTATTATTATTATTATTATTATTATTACAGCATTCCAGTATTTTCGTTGGTTCCCTTTCATGTACTGATAAGATGCAATGTATCGCAATTTTATGATGACCATAAGAAAAATCAATTATGATATAAAATATAATTTTAAAATTTTACATTTTGATTGCATACATTGTAAATAATTATCTAGCTAATTTATCACAATATCAGTATTCATATCTTTATTAGGAGTTCTTAACATTTTAAACATTTCTGGTTGCAGTTCGCGAGAACGAATAACCTCGCGGATCGGTGAGTGTAAAACATGTATTGCCTCAACTGCAGACCGTCGGACTGCTGAGACAGTGAATGATAACCATACCTTAACACAAATTTTAGTTGGGCGTGCGTTTAATTAAAGTGGCACACATGGAAAAGTCATCGGCCGATCAACGATGTTCATGCGAAAATATGGAGCCGTTTACATTCACCGAGTGTCTTGAATTGCAACGATAACACTGGCAGAACACTCTGCAACAGATGTTTATTTCGTTAACCGTGTGCCACGTACATTGATGAATCGTCCCATAAACCAACCCTACATCAAGTTTATCTTAGATTGTCGAGTAGATAAACAATTTTATAAGTTTAATGAGATTTGGATGACGTCGACACTATCACGCTGTTAACAGTTGTGGAGGTTACAGCCTCATGTACGGAAATGGCGACTCTACTGAATTTTTTGGTACATAGATGTTGCGATTACTATGCACTGTATCACATACATATACCATACTATTATAAAAAGACTTAATATGTACATGGAGGAAAAACGCATCTTCGTAAAATTTGCCCAGTAGCTCTCCCGGTGCGATCGGGTAAATGTTTAAGATCAACGTAGCGGCGGATGATTCTCCCTGACATGTTGTTATTGTCCGTACATAACCACGAGCGATATGTCACGCTATTAAAAGGTCACACTTACGCCACCACTCTTCCGATTGACCTAATTTCCAATAATATAAACTTAGCAACTAGGATCTTACTCCATCAACAATGCTAAATACGATACTGTTTTTCAATGTTTCTCATACTCAATCAGTCTCCACGGTCCCGATGAGAGATGTGTTCCCGTCAAGCAAGAGAATTGTACGCCATAGACCGTGTATAAATAATACTCATTTTCTGAGTGTCTGTTGTTTAATAATTCTCTAATAAATTAAAGAGATATTATCTGCGTCAAGTACTGTGATTGCATTATACCGCTGGGCACGAATTACGGTGCCCAAGTTCAAGGTTGTTTTGAGATCAGCAGATAACTTCAACAAATATGGTGGCTCTCATCCCCCGCCCGCTGCCATATGAATACTAGTAAACGGTTAATACAATAACGCAATAATCTCATATCATGCGAAATACTAGTCTCATTCAGTTTTCAAATGAACGTAATTTTACTCTCACCGTGAAATGATAGAATTTGAAAATAAGAAATTAAATCTGTTTAGATAATTATAGTAAAGACGACCACAATGCGTGCATGTGTAGGTCTGCACGTATTATATCTACCTTGATTTGTGATGCAACTCGAAGGCGAACTGCAGATAATGGGTACGTGTCCTTTATTCAGTCAATTACTTAACGCAAATTAGTTTGTTCTCAGTTGCCATGACGATCAACCCGGATAAAACACGAACAATATATTTGGAATATATGATGGAATACCTGATAACGAGATAGAATACTGCTAATTCAAGATATAGCAAACTAACTTAAATGTTTTGATTGTTTGTTCAGTAGCATATGACATTTGTCTTACTCTTTAAAACAACAAAACGACCGGAGGCTACATTTCTGACATTGGCGACATGTGCACTCATCCGTACTGCACGCTAACATTCCCTCTCATTAAGACCACACCGATTTAGTATTTATGCTAGAAAAGTAGAAAGATAAAAGGGGCGTACCAATACGTATAGGGGTGATTTTCATTGTATTACCCAGATCAAATGTATCTATTTTAATCACATTGGAAAGAACCACTCAAAAGCGTTTGCGATGACGTCATTTATAGATCAAAGCTATGTACGCCAAAGATGAGGACACTCTTTTAATGGATAACTTCGTCTATCTTCGGGATCAAGCGACACTTCAATTCTCAGAATCGGGTTTCCACGTGTCCATTTATTAAAGAAATGATCAATACCCTTATGATAACGTTTTAGTACTGGATCTAAATCTAGCAATGTTTGGTTATCGTTTTTCGATTATTAGTGACTTTGAGTTGCGCCTGTTTTCACAGGCATATTTTTGAATGCACTACAAATTTAAGTCCAAATTTGGAAGTAGTTATTTGGTTTTTATACATCGATTTGGTTATTTGACTTGTATTCAAAGGACATTCCATTTTTAACGAAGCTCTCTGAGAGTCAGCAATATGTGTTGATGCTTTCAGCGAAAGATAATCGTTGACCATTTGTTACAACGTCGAGCCGCTGTGAAGATTCAGTCACGATGGAGGTCAACCTCCGTGGAGAAATATTGCACCACACTCTGGTATGACCGTTAAATGCGAATATACACAAACGTGAGCCGAATACGGTGCTCACACAACCATTGGAACATAAATGACAAACACTGGCGAATGTACGTCAATGTGCTAAGTTTTTTAACCATTTTTTCCTATTTTTAATCCATGTAACACTGAGATCTTGTGGTACCGTGAGTAACCACATTATAACATGTCAATGTAATACATTTATTTTAATCTTTCATGAAGATCCTATTATTTCACCATATGTGTGTTTTTTAGTTCAAGTGTCATTTTGGCTAATGTAGCATGAAATAATAAAAATATATACAAATTACAAAATGCAGCTCAAAAAAAAAGATAACTTGGAACAGACATTTGTCTGTGGTTCAAACAACTCGCTGGTTTTTCATCGCGCCATTCCCTATTTGCGTGGTGATATAATCAATGTACTTCAGTCGCGTCTTGCGAGGATAAGCAGTACTGTAATCACCATTACCGCCAGAAATCGCCGTGTTCCTACTTCATTTGTTTCCGCTTGATTATGCTCTACTCAAAGGGTAGATCATTTGAAAAGCTGACTTTTTTAAAAATCTAACCGAAATAATCTTACAAATGCACCTCCATTCACCCTACAAATCTTTTTATATAAGTGAGGGAATATTGGAATAGATGAGTAGCGCTATGCATACACGGAATCATAGTAAAGGAAAGTTCTTACACTTTATTATATTTTAATATACCGGTACATGTATTTCATAAGTTCCATACCAGGTACTGACTATAGTATATTGAAGAGCAGTTACTGACTCTCCTACGCACCCAATTATGGATAAAATGTGGCCCAGTATTTACGACAAGGATTCTTACCTGATCTGGTGAGTAATGTGTTACTCATCACTCACCTTCCACCCCCATTAAATAAATGAGTATCGCCAACTGTTTCTTTTCATTTTCGGAGGGCGCACCATCCGGTGTTGTCCTGGTATTTTTCGCAATTGTTTCCTGTTCATTCATTTTTTAAATTTTCAATCGTTGTATATCTCAGCTTTGGTGACATCGTATTCAATGTGAAACGTTTTATAACATCACTGACAATGGTATGAAGGTTTTCATTCTGGACGATAATACTACGTGTGTATGTGCTCGTTGCACGGGTCACTCGGTAACGGGGCAATGCGATAGAGTTCTAGTAATGTGGCAGTGAACCGACGTGGATGGTGAAATAAAAGTTAACTTAGACGACACGTATTTGACTCTATATTAAAAATCCGAATCGGGAATGATCGCTAGCATCTGCTGTTTCTGCGTGTGACCTCTCACCCTATGGCCTACAACGGGCATTTCAGTTTCACCCCATTTCCGTTTTCCATATCGTGTTGTGACTTTTTTTTCTGCTCGTGACTGCAATTCCAGTTGAGTTATCTTACGTCATGGCCCATATTTGGATATTTCTATCTATTTACATTTCGTCACCTCGTTTGTGTTACAAGACGCTGGCGTACTTTGCATAATTAAAGTTCCATAACTTGTACGTATGTGGAGTGACCCGGGAGAGTGGTAAATAAGGGGTCGACCACTACGAACTAAGGCAGATTTGGAGGCAAATAATGTGTACAGAGACAATTTTGAAGATTTGGGGGGAAATTACAAAAAGCAATTGTAAATGCAAAACCGAATGTACAGCAATTCAAGAAAAATGTAATTTTCATAATATTTTCTCCCTCCCACAGTTTTAACGGTCAATCCCTAAATCAAGTATTTGTGAACTTGAATCATCATCCGATCTCTCACATGTGATGGTAGGACGAATTATTTGAACGCACATCAAAAGTACGGCGAATGGAATGCACTTCGCTATACTTGTGTAAACAAGCTTATGTTCAGATTTTATTGGCACGATCACCTGCTGCAAATAACAATCAACGAGCTATGGACACTATGCAATAAATACCAGGCTTGGAGACACATGTTTGGAGATTTTATTCTGGCAAACAAATCTTCAGTGCTCGACTTCATATAGGACTAGTGACGAGTTAACACAACTCGTTCACCGGGTGTTAAATTCACTAATTTGGTAGTAAAACACTATATTGATTCATTTATATTTCTACAGTTTACTAATTAATTATTTGAAACGGCGGAATGAAAACGAAGGGAAAAATAATCAATGCTCAATGGATAACATCCAGAGTTAGCGGGACCAGAGCAAAATAAACGTGACCTTGATAATGGGATTCTGTTTTTCCTGAGTGTTCATATAATAGAAGCTGACATTTTTGGACTAACGTTATGTAATTGAAACACAAACCACAAGTATTAGATGGCTTACAAAAGAGGCTATAGTTAATATGGGCAAATGATTTGCTTGAGCCATTGGTAATTTTTTTGGAATTGATTTTGCTGTGACAATGTATACATGTATGGACAATTATGTGAATATGGTGTTGTGTGTTATAGGAAGTAAGTGATGTCTTAAGTCTTTTGGTTATGTCATTTGAATCAAGAGGGGAAGGTTAAAGTACTTGATCGGAAAGAATGATTATATTTGTTCTTTAGCAGTGAATGGCTTATTTGTACTTGACTGTGACCCACCCACCACTCGATTGTAATTTGGCCAGTTGCTATTAGACATCGCTAATTAGTGCGCCCTCTATGGACAATTGAAACACAAAACAAATGGTCGGTAGAGGGCCCATGAATTCAGTGCGAAGAAAATATCAGCGTGTTTAGGAATGTCATGATTTAAAAAAATAAAAATAAGCAAAATATTTAGTCACATTAGAAACACAAAAACAGACAAGGCAGGTATGAAATTATAGAAAAAATACAAGAAATGTTTTAGGAAAAATTATTATTACCGTTACATGACATTCTTGAAATTAATGCACTGATTGAAGGTGTGCTATTATTATTCAGAAATGTGTTTCTTCTACATTGTAAGCTACAGGTATGTCACAACTGCTACCAAATCTCAGCTCCGTTCTGTTTATGACCAAGGCAATCACCACAATGGTTTACACCACAGGAAAGTCATGGCTAAATACGTCCATATTGCAGTATTCAGTAGCTCGATCATGAGGTTTTCTTTTCCCAATCAATCCACATTTAGAAGATTCATACCTTTGTTCTCAAACAATGCATTTGTCATTTGCTTGTATACAAAACACCCAATAGGCCTTTTCAGTGAAAATTAATTCCAGCTAAAATAAAGTATTTTACAGTATGTAGGGGAAAAAAATGGGCAATTCTGGACTACAATATGTAATGGGTGAATTTATAAAGACACAGAAATAGTTTAGTGTGGTGAGAAAAAATTACAATTTAGCAGAGTGAATAGGTATCACTCGCAAAAGAATATGTTGGGCTTTCAAGGTTTGGGTATATAGCGTGTCAAATATTATACATGAACATATTTCACACTGAAATAAACAAACGTTCTGAATAAATTCAATATAGTACCGGTAGTCTTTTATTTAGCACAATAAAACAAACAGCTACTACATATATTCAGTTCACCATGGCAACCATTTCTCGGATGGTAATTTCTAACTCAGGTCTGTAAAGCTAAATAATTAATCCCCACCAGTAATTGCAAGTGAACTAAAGAATGGTTGTTTTAAATAAATTTACAACTGGCTGACTATGACACTTTTACAGAAACATACAGAAAAAAGGTGATTAATATAATAATGTATATTATAGAATGCTTTAGTAGAATTTACTGTAAAACATGTTGAAATAGCTACAGGCTATTTTAGCGAACTTAATTTAAATAAAGTGCCAACTATATCATTGGGGGATTATACTTTTTTTTAAATTAATGACGTCTTGAATTAGTAAAATTATGGATCTGGTAAATTAGCTAAAATAACATGCTAAAAAGACGTGTTTTACTGTATGCAGGATACATCATTTATCTCAAATAATATTTATAAAAGTGCCATAGGTGTCATTCAGTAAGCAAACAATGCATTTTGCACATGCTGGATTATGTTACATGGGACCACTATACCTAGTTGAACTTTGAGATATTGGAAGTTTAAAAAGCATTACACATTTTTCGTAAAGAAAATAAAAGAAGAAACGAATAATAACAATATGTACAAGTTAAACATAGGTTTCAATTAGACATTTCATGTTTTTCGTCTCGTAATATGATCGTATATGACAACTTGTGTGTATTGACGACATTCAAGCACTGTTCGAGTAGAATTGTCTCCAGGTGTTGGGGCCTGTAAAAAAACAACATACTTATTTGTGAATTGAAAACATAAAAAAATTAAATGATTGATTTTATTTCTTCTTAATAAGCAATAAAGCCTTTCCTTTGTGAGAAACCATTATTAGGCCAAAAAAAACAACAAATTATGTAGCCCTCAAGTCGGAAAATTGAAAAATTGGGTCGGTCGGTCAGATTTTTTTTTAAACTCATGAAAACTAAGGGTATCGTAAATAGCTGAGGTATATGGGGGAAAAAAAAACGCAACCCAATATTTCATAATTTTCGATCGGTCGCTGAGGGCAACAAAACAATTATTTTTTTTTGCCTTACTAAAAGAGTGAGCAATTTTCCACAAATAACAGTTACATGACTAGTGATCTGTATAGTAATATGCAACTATTGACCCATTTTTTTCAAAAAATAATTCAACGATAGAAACCATTACAAAAATGCAAACTTTTGTCATTTTTCATGATAATTTTGAAATTTTGTTTTTTCAAAATATTGTTTGGTCACCCCAAATCTTTTTATTTTATTTTCGCTAACCTGATAGCATTAAGGGACG